GGGGTGGGAACCAAAAAGGCTAAACCACAGCTGTAAGGTAGAAGCAGGGTGTGCAGGGTTGGGGGACTAGGAACCAGCAATGTGGGACAGTGGGCAGGAGACACCCACAGCATTCATCCCATCACTCATATTCCCTAGACTGGGAGCCCAGCAGATTGATAAAAGGAAGATCCTGGTGGTCTCGGGGATAGGATTTGATTTTGCTCTTATGTTTTTTAATTCTTCTTAGTATTTGGCCAGAATATGCACCATAAAACATTCATCAGTTCTCTGATATCTGCATGTCCAATTCAGTGATGTCAATTACAACCTTCAAGTTGTGTAACCATTCTAAAGCTATTCTTTTCCAAATTATTAAAATGTCTTTCTTTTTCATCTTTAGCAGTTAAATCTTTTTGAAATAAAATCCCATGCTGATCTATAAAAGCTGCTCTGGCCAGAACAGAAGGAGGGGAGTTCAGAGTGTGGCCCCTGTCCTTCCCTTCAGTTCCTGCATCCACCTCATGCTGGGTACGTCCAGCCTCCTCACCTGCACTGTGTTCAGTGGTGTCCAAGAGGCTTCAAGGGCATGAACTACCAGGCCATTTCAATGATAGGGCTCTGAACTGACAGCACTGAGTTTAGAGCTAACATTCTTGTAGGTTTTTGACTCACATGTCTGTGTGCAGCATCGAAAGTCCCTTTTTTAAAGAATTATAGTTTTACTGAATCACTTCTACTGTCATGCTGCCATGAATCTTAAGTACCCACATCACCATCTTTCCATCTGTCATAATGCAGTGGCTTATGTGATATTGGAAGCTCTGTTACTGGTATTTCAAATACCAGCAAAATCACTTATGGTAGACAGGCTTTCAGCAAAGCTTCCAGACTAAGAGAGACTAGAAAGAAAATCAGCTAGTGAAAACCTTGTAGATCACAGCAGAATAGTGGTCGGTGGAAGGCTGGCAGATGAGCTCCCTAAGATGAGGGGCACTCAAAGTGCACAGTGGCCACAACAGCAGACCTCGCATGCCCGTGATCGTGAGGACGGTGCAGGACTGGGCAATATTTCATTCGGCTGGAATTGGAAGTTAGTTGGAACCTACTCAATGTTTGCTTCCCACAAAACATCTTGTGGTAGGTTATTGTCAAATGGCCCAAAGTGACATCTATTCCATAAGCTACTGCTATTGGTCTTGGATTATTATCATGTCTTTGTCATGCTTACAGTGTTTAGTGTAAAGATGAAAGTGTGACTAATCCAAGCTACAGTATTTTCAATTACTTGTAATGCATCTGAGAGGTGGACAATGAATAAAGACAGCCAAAGAATTGATGCCTTTGAATTGTGGTGCATTAAATGTCCCAAGAGAATAAACAAATATATCTTGGAGAGAACGCAGCCAAGGATACTCCTCAGAGGGAGGGATAGTCTCACACACTTTGGGCAAGTTGTTAGGAGGGGTCAGTATTGGAAAAAAGAATCATGCTTAGAACTATAGGTTTTTGGCAAAGGAAGGGAAGAACCTCAACTAGATGGATTACTCTAGTGAGCAACGATGTCAGTCTGGAGACTAAGGTGCACCTGATCCAGGCCATAGTCTTTGCCATTACTTGCTATGCATCAGAAAGCTGGACAATGACAAAGGATGATAGAAGGAGAATTGATGCCTTTGAGCTGTGGTGTTGGAGAAGCATATCGAGTATACCATGAACTGCTAGGAGAGCAAACAAGTTCATCTTAGAGGGAGTGAGATCAGGTTGCTCCTTGGAGGCAAGGATTCTGAACATACTTTGGATATATTGCAAGGCAGGACCAGACCTTGGAGAAGGATGTCATGCTTGGGAGGGTGGAGGGACAGCACAAGAGAGGAAGACCTTCAATGAGATGAATTGATTCAGTGACTGGGGTAAAGGGAGTAGGTGTGTCGGAGACAGTGAGATTGGCACAGGATAGAGCAGGGTTTAGGGTTGTTGTACATTCTAGCTCTATGACTTGCAGGCAAGTTGATGGCACATAACAACAACAACAATAGACTTTAGTGTGTCAGAGATTATGAGGATGGCACAGGATAGGACAGGGTTTAGAGAGTAACTATAAACTGTACTTGACTCAATGGCACCTAACAGCAGCAACAATACTGTACTTATTTTTACTATGTACCCCCCCAAAAGTAGTTTTACATACCTCAGTGTACATTTACAATGAGAATAACAGTTTGTTTACACTCATGGATCTCCCAAAGGAAAAGGCAGGAGAGCGTTTTTGGTTGAATGTTGAGCTCTCGGGTAAACTGAGGCACGGTAAGCATAATTCTTTGTCGATGTTCTAAGGATGGGGCTAATGTGTGGGTGGGAATCTTTAGACACCAGGAAGAGAGTGGTACTTACCAGAGAACAATGCCATCCCCAACGGAGCTAAAGAGGTCATTTGTGTTGGGATTCATTGGGATGACATGCTGACAATCAGGGTCATTCTCAAGGGCCTTGTTTATCCAGTTGACAAAGGCATACTTTTCTTCCTCTACAAAGAAAACAATAAAATAACTCATTTGCCAAGAGGAAATCTGATGTAAACAAAATTATACACATAGATCTTAGAATCTCATGCTTAGTAGAGCCATTTTGAGATAATCTGGTTTGTTATATTATTCTATCATCTCCTATTTCCTGATATTCTATACTGTTCTCCAACACCACACTCAAAGGCATCAATTCTTCTTCTGTCATCCTTATTCATTGTCCAGTTCTCAGATGCATAGCAAGTGATGGGAAAGACCTTTGCCTGAATCAGGTGCACCTTAATCTTCACAATGATATTATTGCTCCTCAGTAATTTGGGAAAGGTTCCTGACTTGCCCAATGCAATTCATCTCCTGATCTTTTGACTGCTGGTAGCAAAGTTGTTGACTACGTATCCAAGTAAGTTGTAATCATGGAAAATGTCTATTTTTCTCCATCTAAGATGATGTTGCTTATTGGTTCAATGGTGAGGATTTTTGTTTTCTTGATGTTGAGATCCTATCCATATTGAAGGGTATATTCTTTGATCTTCTGTAGCAAGTTTTTCCAAGTCCTTCTCACTTTGAGCAAGTAAAGCTGTGTCATCTGCATAGCGCAGATTGTAAATGAGTCTCCCTCTAATCCTGATGTCACATTCTTCTTCACTGAGTCCAAGTTTATGAATGATTTAGTCAGAGTACAGATTGAATAGACAGGTAGAAAGGCTACACTCCTGATGCAGATCTTTCCTGATTTTAAACCACGCAGTATTCCCTTGCTCTGTTGGACAACAGTTTCCTGGTCTAGGTATAGCATTCATAGAAGCATAAGTAAAGTGCTCTGGGATACCCATTCTTCTTAATGCCTGTCATTTATAATGATACACACAGTCAAATGTCTTTGTGTAATCAACTAAACAGATAGTCAATACATTTGCGTTGAGCCTCCTTAGTTTGAGTATCCGGTTTAGAACGTGTAATCCTAAAAGGTTTGGACTCATTTTTTTTATATCTTTCTTTCTCCACCTCAGTTCTCTTTTCATCCTGACACCCCCTCCATCTCCACCCTTCCTCCACCAGTCCATCCTACCTGAATAGGAATGCTGAGTGCCAGCACTCGATTGCTCCGAGGTGCCTCCAATTGCACAAATCCCTTCCTTTTTGTTGATTGCTTTCCTGAAGGTCTTGGCAACATCTGTGCTTTTCAGTCCACTAAAAAGCTGCAAAACATAATGTATCCCTAGAGCTCCAAGTTGTGATTAAGAAAACTACAAAGGAAACAATATCATGTCGAAGTACCCACGCCTAGTCAGCACAGAGCTCCCCTCCCTGCAAATATTTTTGGAAAGAGAACACCAGTTCCAAGTTTCAAATGTGTCTCCTCGTACCACACTAACCTTCATAAACTCATCAAAGCTGATCCTCCCGTCTTTGTCCAGATCACCTGTTGCCATCAGGTTTTCGGTAATTTCTCTCACTCTATAACCAGGCAGGGGCAAGCAGGCAGCTTTGAACAAATCATTCAGCTCATTGAAGCTGATGTATCCATTGCCATTGGTATCTGCGATGCAAAGGACAAATCAAACTTTCCACTAACAGAATCAGAGAACTGAGAAAAGACTAGATAGAGGTGGCGGGGCAAGGGAGACAGATACAGAAGGTCCTGGCTTGTCCCAGGAGAACAACATGGTCTCGGGAGAGGCCTGTCATATTGGGTGTGATCATGGGCATCAACCCCAAATCTAGAGTCAATAAGTCATCATTTTAAGACAAAGGACTGGGCAACAGAATCTGAAGAAACAATTATAAAAAGAGAGGGAAACAAAATCACAGGTTTAGAAATAAAGACTAAGACATTAGTGTGTGATGTAACTGTTTGCTGTTAGGTATTGCTGAGGCAACTACAACTCTTAACGACCCCATGAAGCTCAGATCTGAACCTCTCCCTGTCCTGCGCCGTTCTTGTTAGGAGAAGCCAGTCCTTGGAAAAAGACCTTGTGCTGGGGAAGTTGGAGAGTCACAGAAAGATTCTCAGCAAGATGGATTGACACAGAGACTGTAAAAATGGGCTCAAGCATTAGAGATTGTGACTGTGAAGTGGCAGGCAGAAACCAAATGAACACAAAGAAAGCAGAAAATATTTTTTTTTTAATTAAAAATGTAGTCCTTTCCAAGAAGAGCTGCTAGTGGAGAAAGTCCAGTTTTTCATTTTTTAACAGGGAGGGAAACCATTTTCTTAGAACATGAGTATCCTGAGCCTCTAGCTGGTACCGCTGGGTTCCTCTTGCCTCCACAATTTTGCCTTTGTTACCAGTTCTGAGGCTGTCCCGAAGCTTCTCAGTAAAGAAGAGTCTTGTGTGACTTGAGGTCCCAGCTCTACTCACCAACTTTGTCAAATGCTTCTCTGAGCTCCATCATTTCTTCATCAGACACTGATCCCCGAGCCATTGTTGACTGCTTAGGTAACAGACCTGGTGAGGCAGAGGTGACACAAAGAAGGACATCTGTTCATCTTTATTCTTAAAGTACCACAAGAAGCAGTTCCTGCTTAAAGGGAGAAGTCCTCCCTTGCTTCCTACATGATAATTGTTCCAAAAAGAAGAACTAGTGCTTACTAGTCCTAAGGGAATTGTGCTGCTAACCCAACACTGGTGGTTCAAAACCACCTGTTGCTCCAAGGGAGAAAGCAGAACAAACTCCTCCTAGGAGATTTATAGTCGGAAATCTTGCTGGAGCATCAGCTATGAGTTGTTTCCAACTTCATGGCATTGAGTTTGAGTCCATCTCCCATTTAAAGATCACCCCCAAAGAACCCTCCCCTCCTCACATCAAGAGCTATGTATAGTTAGTTAACAGTGACTGGTTTTATGGCTAGAAAGTGGTAGGACTGAGACTGGAAACTTCTGCTCCTTCCTTCTTGAATGCCTCATTTTGGAACTCATGTGCCATGTTGTGAGATACCCAAATGCCTGAGGAGACCAATGCAGGATGACTGGAGCTCTGGCTCAGACAGTTCAATCAATGGCCAGACAACTGAGGAGGCCACCGCGGACTCTGTAGACGGGTTGAGCTCCCGGGGGACCAGAGTCCCTTCCACCCACTCCCCTCCGCACCTCAATAGCGCAAAGAGCAGGAGGAGTCTCACCCAGCTGTGCCCAGTCCACAATGGAATCCTGAGGGATGATACAGTGATTTTTGTTTTAAATTATAAGGTTTTAAAGTAGTTCACAACACAGCAGTGGACTACTAGAACCTTAAATTTTTGCATAAATGTATTCTCAGGGAGATACTTTCAATGTTCAATTTGAAAATTAATATTTTGCTGAGCCAATGTATAAATTTTATAACTTCAAAGGGAATTATTTAAGTTGTCTAAATATTTAGGAAGGGAATAGGTCATAGTTGGGATGCTGAGGGACTTGCGGTTTTACTACATTCCCTTTAAGGAGTTGAGCTGCTAAGGTCTACTGCAAAGGGGTTGCAAAGGCTGCCCCTCTCTTACAGTTCAAGTCCACTAGTGACTCCGTGGAAGAAATACGAGCAATTTCCCCCTGAAGGATTTCTAGCATCAGACACCCCGGAAGGTCTGCTAGGAATCGATTCTGATGATGTGTTTAGTATTCCCTTTCCCACTGTTATTTCTTCATGCAGGGGTGCGCCTTTGACACACATACTTTGAGAATGTTGTCTGGAGTGGTTAGTCCTTAGAAAAAATCTTCATGCCGAGAAAGGTGGAGGGTCAGAGAGAGGGAGCGAGGAAGACCCCCAGCAAAATGGGTTGACACAGTGCCTGTAGCAATGGGCTTAAGCATATGAGAGAAGATGAGGGTGGTGCAGAAGAGGGCAGGACTCAGGTCTGTTGTTCCTAGCGTTTCGATGAGTCATCCTCAACTTGAAGGTACCAACACCTTCTAGATCTCCTTCTAGATCTGTTTATATTGTTGATTGCAAGTTGTGCCACAGGCTCGAAGAGTCACTGAGGGCCATAAAAACAGTGGCCTTTATAGGGCAAAGACGAAATATCCTCTTGTTAAAATTTACAGCCCAGGACACGTGATAAGAGGGTTACTAGGAATCTCAGCTGACTAGATGACTGAATTTTTGGGAGTGGAGGGGAGAAAATGAAACAGAAAATGTGTGCTCTATTCTCCATGCTCCTAGCTAATCCAGCTGATCTAAACGAAACCCCGAAGCCACGGCCATGTCGTCCACTGTGGCTCAGAGCAGCCCTGGAGATCTGAGTAGAGCTCGCCTGCAGAGTTCCTCAGGCTGTAAGTCTTTACCCAGCAGACTGCCTCAGGCTTCTCCGGCAGAAAGGCTGGTAGGCTCTGAATGTCATTCTCTCCAATGTGTAGTCTATAGTGAATGTTTCACATAGGGGTTTCAGTGAAACGTGCTAGATCTCCTGGTAGGAACAGACACGGGTGAGGGACCTGGATGACAGGGTTAAAAAATACCCTGACTCATAGCCAAGCCTCAAAAGGGTTTTCAGAGGCAATTAAATCACATGGGAGAAGATAGCCCCTTTTTCTCCTGGGGAGCAGCTGGTGGATTAGAATTGTGAGCATTTAGGTTGGCAATGCAACTCCTTACCACTGAGCCACCAGAGCTCCCTAAACAAAAGACCTCTGTTGTTTCTGCTTGGTTTCAAACAGGGAACCTTTTGCATGTTAGGCAAATATGATAATGACTAACTACACTACAGAAACTCTCATGTTTGCCCTCTAGATCTGTTTATTGTTGATTCCAAGTTGTGCCACAGGCTCAAAGGATGAGTGAGGGCCATAACCTTGGGGGTTCCACCCATCTTGCCAGACCAGTAAGCCTGTCCACTGTCATGATTTTGAGTTGCATTACTAATATAGAAAAACCCACAAAGACCAAAACCAAACTAACTCCTTTTTGAATTTATAAAAATCTTATTTTGTTATTATTCATCTCACATATCTGAAAAGGTCCTTCAGTTTCTCTAAGAGAAAGTGAAAAATTGTTGAGGATAAATTATAAAAACAAGCTAATTCACACATCATAATCGCAGAGGTACCGGGTCCTTCTCTGCCTCTCCCTTCTTCCTCCTCCCTTCCCTCTTCCTGCTTTCTGCTCCGCCCCCCCATCCCTGCAGGACCCTCCTCTCCCCTTGCCTTCTTGTCATCCTTTCTTTTCCCATCATGACTCCTACCAAAACCATTATTAGTCAAGTTACAAAGATATGTACAAACTTATGTGCTACAAAAAATTAAATGATATATTTAGATAAGAAATAGGTATGAGATGAAATAGGATGATGACAGGGAGGACCTTTAATACCTGAAACAAATTCTCAAGACTTTAATTAAACATTTTGTTAGAATTGGGCTAAAAATTCAGCTCCACGTTCTCTAGACTATAGCACAGAAGGGAAACATTATCAGTTAAACAATTCACTCTACCTGGAAGGGACAAACAGGTGCAACTGAGCTTTCACAGTGATATTCTCACCCAATAGTCAAGAGAAGAAACCTTTAGGCTTTTATGCCTAAACTGATGGCTTACACACATACATACACACTTTACTAAAATTATTGTGATTAGGTAAACTTGGCTCTCTGTTATACTATTTATCAATACAGATATACCTCGTTTTATTGTCTTTCATGGAAAGTGTTTTGGGGTTTTTTCCAAATTAAAATGTTGTGAAAATTCTGTATCATGAAAGTCTACTTGGTGCCATTTTCCTATCACTTCATGTTTCTGCTTTTGATAATTCTAATAATATTTCAGACTTTTTCAGAATGTCACTGTATCCTAACAGTGTAAACATAATTTAGAAAAGCTCATTACACTCTTCTGAGTCTCCCACTCCAGGGCTTTCACCTGTAATTGTTCTCATTTCAGTTATCATTTCATCCCGACCTGGTTTTGCTTCATCAACAAACTGAGCTCATTCCTGTGGAGTCAGGACTAATGCATAGCTGCCCCTCCAGCTGGTTTGCACACAGGAGGAGACTCCTGTCTTTCTCCCATGGAACAGCTGGTGGAGTCAAACTGCCAGAGAGTTAGTAATTTAAAGGAACAGCGAGTTAATGTTAATGGGGAACAAACAATTCAGAACAAGAGGCTGAAAATGGTTGCATGACTTGAAGAATTTAATCAGTGTCACTGAATTATAGAGACAGAAATGGTTGAATTGTTGTGTGTTTTGCTGTGTATCTCCTTGACAACAGGGAAAAGAATTTTAGAAAGATTTTGAGGGGGAAAAGTCCATTGAAATAGCATAGAGAGGAAAGAGGAAAAGGTTATTTCAAAATGAGATGATTTTAAGAAGCTGTGTCAAGTAGGTGAAGAGACAAAAACTTTGGGCATCTGGGTAATGGTATTTTTCTAAGAGGTTTGAAAGTAAGGGAAACAAGGAGAAGTCAAATAGTGAGAAAGCCTTCAAATATGAAAAATCTAAAGCACTTCATTGATTGAATGGCTAAAGGAAAGAGCAGTAGATTGAATTAGAGGGAAGGCAGCCACCAGGCTCCATTTCTGTGACACTGTGTCTGCTGTTGTTGGAACCAAAAACAAATATGCCTGGAGAGGGTTGATTTTACCATCAGCACGAGCAATACATCCTGGCAATATGACCTCACACTTAGAGACAGAAGAAAGCTGTAAGGTTGAATTGTGTCCCCAGGAAGGATATGTTGCAGTCCTAATACCTGGTCCTATTGACCGTGACCTTGGGTAGAAACAGATCCTCTAAAGATATTCCCAGCTAAATTAACTGAGGGTCATACTGGAGTTATAAGGCATCAAATTTCATGTAAGTTGTACCCATATGAAAGAAAAGAGACACAAACACAGAGGCAAGATGGTCTTGCAAAGGCAGGGGCACCGATGTGGAGAGATAGGCCTACAAACCAAGGAACATCAAAGGCCACTTGCCTACCGGAAGCTGGGAAAGAGGCACAGAACAGGTCACTCTCCTCAGAACCTCGGTAGGAATTGATAAAACCACACCCTCATTTTGAACCCTTAGTTTCCAGAATTGTGAGTTGATAATTTAAATTCTCCTTGGCCCCCTGATTCATGGGGCTTTGCTACAGCAGCCCTGGAAAACTAGTCCAGCATTCCGTTAGCTGCCCCTGAGTTAGTCCTTGATTCCCAGAGCTCCCACTTACAAGAAAAGTAAAATATTGTCCATCACATTATCAGTGGTGGATCGACCTGTGGTGAGCCATAGGGGTTTGTGAGGGTTTTAATATGCTAATTTTTTGTCTTAGAGAAAGTACAGCTAAGAGTGCTCCTTGGAGGTAAAAATGACAAAGCTTCATCTCACATACTTCGGGCATGTTGTTAAGAGAGGCTATTTCGTAGAGAGGGATATCATGCTTGGAAAGGTGGAGGGTCAGTGAAGGAGAGGAAGACCCTCAACCAGATGGATTGACATAGGGATTGCTGCAATGAGCTCAAATATGTCAGAAATGATGAGGATGGTACAGGATAG